TTTGAATAAGAATGGCCCCCCACAGGCTCATATGTATGAATGCTTAGTCATCAGGGAGTTGGACTATTTGGAAAGGACTAGAAGATTACGAGGTATGGCCTTGTGGGAGGAAGTGTGTTACTGGGGGTGGGCTTTCAGGTTTCAAAGGCCATGCCAGGCCTAGTCTCTCTGTTTCTGTGTGCCTTACAGATCAGGATGTAGGACTCTCAGCCATTTCTCCAGCGTCATGTCTGCTTGCACGCCACCATGCTCCCTCCCCACCATGAGGATAATGGACTAAACCTCTGAAATTGTCAGCAAACCTTCAGTTTCTTATAAAAGACATTCTTTGTTTTATAAGAGTTGCTTCGGCCATAGTGTCTCTTCACAGCAGCAGAACACTGGCTAATACCCTGGCTCTCTGCCTCCCCAGCACTGGGAACACAGCGTGCCCCACCACACCGCCTGTTTTACTCACGTTCTGGGGTCAGACTCATGTCCTTATGCTTTGACAGTCAGTACTTCACTGACTGTCTCTCCATCCCCAAGCTGTATCTTTAGTTTTATTATCCCCCCACCCTCCTTACCCATCATTGTTTCTCCTTCCACGTTATTCATTCTGATAAATAACATCACTGTTATCTAGATGCTCACACCAGAAATTCATATATTATCCTCGAACCCCCAACTCTCTTCTCCCATATTTACCCTCCAAGTCCCCTAGCCTTTATTTCTTGTCCACAGCATCACATTGGCCTGCTATCTAGTCTCTGCCCATCCGTAGACTCTCCTCATTGTCGCAGAGATCCTTTCTGAAGTACAATTCTGTGTCCTTCCCTCAACCTTTGCTAATGGCTTCCCACACTTCAAAGTCTCATCACTCCAGGTCTCTCTACAAGCTGCCTGTATGGTGTATGTGAGCATGTGTGTACACGAGTGTATATATACATGTTTGTGTGTGTGGCCTCATGTTGTGTGTGTACCCGTGAAGGTGAGAGGCTGAAGTTGGTGTCCTCCTTGGTCATCTCCACCTTACCTTTGAGAAAGTCTCTCTCGGCTGGGCAGTGGTAATGCATGCCTTTAATCCCAGCACTCAGGAGGCAGAGCCAGGTGGATCTCTGTGAGTACCAGGCCAGCCTGGTCTACAGAGTAAGATCCAGGACAGGCACTAAAAACTACATAGAAAAACCCTGTCTTGAAAAACAAAACACAAAAACAAAAACAAAAACAAAAAAAGAGAGAGAAAGTCTTTCACTGAACTGTGTGCTCAGGGATTCAGCTAGACTGTCTGGCCAGTGAGCTTCCAGTGACCCACTGGTCCCTGTCTCTCCAGACCTGGGACTACAGGTTTGTACTGTGGTCCCTGGGTTTTATGTGGGTCCTGGGAACTGAAACTCAGGTCCTTATGCTTGCACAACAAGCACTTCGCCTGTTCCCAGGCCCCTCTAGCCACTTCAGGTACTGGAGACTTGCTCCTTATTGCTGGTCTTTGCTCCTTTCTCTTAATTAGGCTCCTAGGATGATTGACATATCATAGATTCTCTTCAGGCACTTGCTTCCTGGTGGTATTTTCACCTTCCTTTTGTTAAGATACCATTACCAATTTAATTACCTCATCGCCTCTCTGTAACTCCTGGCTGTTTCTGCTCACAGGACTTCTAAAAGCTCCCATCTTCGTCTATATATCAATAGCATTGTCATCACCAGTGTTGAAACCTGTCGGTAGCTGTTCTAGCTATGACCTTGAAGCACCGCCCCTAGAGAGGCAGCAGGTAACTGCCACACCTGCCTATGACCTGTACCTGCCCCTGGGGTGTGGCTGCTTGGGACCCTTAAGACCTGGGATGCACAGCTCTCTTCAATCCCTCATGGTTTGGATGCTGAACAGATTGGGCAGATCTTGGACCAGGCAGAAGATCAGCGCGGGACATAGCTTGGCTTTCCTAGACCCTGTGATAAATCTCCCATGCTGTACTGAGTCTTACCCCCTACTCAATTCCTTGGCCCATTAAATAGACTCCATGGATTTCTTGCAATAGAAACCTATTACATGTATTTCTCTGTATTAATCGAAGTGACTGTATAACTAGAAAAAAATCCTCTTCTGTATCACACTGATTGTTTTACCATTTAATTTTGGAATAAACTCAACTTGGTTGTGAAATTAAATTATTTTATGTTTTTCTCTGCTTAGCCTGCGAATATTTTGTTTGGGAATTTTGCATGTACACTGAGGGATGTGATTGGTGTATAATTAATTTTGCTTTCTCCAAGTATAGTCACCAGGCTTTAGTGTCAAAGTCACATTAATAGGTGAAAGCTTGGCCCCTGCTTTCTATTTCCTAGAAGAGTTGTGAAATTAGCCTTATTATTTCTAAAAATATTTCATAGAATTTGCTGGTATTTGAATTTATCTGTATTTAAGTTTCTTTTTGTATGAAGGCCTTAAATTATAAATTCTTTAAGAGCGTTATTGTTTCTTATTATTTTGGTAATTCTCACTGCCCATTTAAGATGTTTTTAGAAATTTCTGTCATTATGTCCATTTTGGCAAGATACATATTTTCTAGAAGGTTGTTGATATCACCAAAAATTTAATCTCTGCTTGCACAATATACTACAGGTTATCAATATTTGAAGAAACAATTTCAGATTGATATTGTAACAGCCCCCCAGACCTTAATAGGCCCCCAGACTTTAGCACAACTGTCTCCATGGTAAAAATACCATTCAGACCATAAAGCTCAGCACATAGACAGCACCACCTGCCAAAACAAAACCAAAGACCTAATCTATGAAAATCCATATCTTTAAAAAAGTCTCTAAATGTACATACAACCTTGCTTTTCCGCTTTTATTGTTCCACTTGTGGATAACTGTTCTTGTTAACTGAACTGTCTCAACCCAGGATATGATTTGTGTGCTTAAAAGCTCACCCTGAGAGAGGCGTGGGGCTTCACCTGGTCTCCAAACACTTAGTTGTCAACTGGCTGGTAAGGACTTTCTATTGGGTTAAACCTCTACCTGAGTAGTCACAGATGGACACCCTACAACAATATAATCTCTCTCTCTCTCTCTCTCTCTCTCTCTCTCTCTCTCTCTCTCTCTCTCTCTCTCTCTCCCCCTGCTTTGTTTTGTATTTGCATTTATCTTTCTTGTTTTCTTTCAACTCTTATTGGGGCTAAAATTGCTGGATTTTTTCCAATGTCCTAATGTAGAGACTGGTGTCAGTTGCAAATGGATGTGGAGATTCATCACCTTTATAGTTAAGTGTGTTTGGACTTCCCTGTATAAAATCATGTTAAAAGCATTCCTGCTGCCAGGTTTCCATTTGTAATACCCCTCTTACAACTCTTCCTCTAAGGCGTGAGTGCCATGCTCTGTGACCACTTCCTTAAATGCACACATGGAGAACTTGAAAATCAATGTGTATTTCCTTCTCCTGGTAAATCCTGAACAATGCCTCCTCCTCCTCCTCTTCATTATTAATGTTATTGACGTGCTAAAGATTGAACGCAGGGCCTCACTCATGTGAGGCAGTGTTCTACTGTGGAGCTACACTCCCATCCCGATGATATTGTTTTGATATACAACCCCCCACCCCAGCCTGTTGGGGACCTTGTAATGTGATGGTTCATCTCAGTTGAACTTGACTAAATCTAGAATCATCGGGAAGATAGGCCTTTGGGCATGCCTGGCCAGGATTATCTTGATTGAGTTAATTGATGTTGGAAGATCCATCCACTGTGGGCAGCAACCATTTCCTGAGATGGGAGGTTGGAATGGATAAAAAAGGAGGAAGTGAGCTGAGCACAAGTGTGAATTGTGGTCTCCTTAGCTGTGGGTGCTGATGGGGTGTCTGACACAAACAACCGAAGAAAGGTTTGTTTTGGCTCACTGTTTTAAGGAGGTTCAGTTTCTGGTCACATGGCCCCCATGTGCTCTGGCAGAACATCATAGTATCACTGAGTGTGTGGCAGAAGATATTCTTCATCTCGTACTGGATAGAAAGTTGAGGAGGAAGGATTGGTGGCCAGCTATAACCTTCAAAGTCACACTTCCATTGATCTGCTTCCTCTGGTGGGGCCCCATCTCCTAAAGTTTCCAGAACCTCCTCAGATAATACCATCAGCTGGGGATCCAAAAGTGAGTCTATGTGGAACATTCCATATCTCAAACATAACAGAGGTAATCCTGAGATCAGCACAGCCTAGGGTAGCCAATGGCCATTCGGAAGGACTCTCGTTACAGCGCTGTGATGCTGTGTGTTAATTACAGGCACAGTTTGGGGGGCAGATTGCTTCCTTTTCAATCTGCAGCCTTTCAGAGTTTCCATGGTCAGGGTGAGTTCTGTGGCCTTGCAAGAGGTTCTCTCTGTTGCATGAATCCTAATTGGTCTTATAATAAAAACCTGGAGCCAGATACTGGGGTAAATGCTGAAAGATCAGAGAAACAAAAGAACAAGCCACTAGAGAAACTTCTCACCACTCCCGAATGCTCAGGCTGAAAGGGAGGTGAGACCCTGTCTCTACGAATCCTCAGACTGCATGCCTTTGAGTTCTCAGCTGAAAGGGCTACCAAACTCTTGTTCCTCCTGCCTTATATTCCTTTCTCTGCCCAGTCATATCACTTCCTGTCTCAACTTTCCTAGTGTTGGGATTATTGGCGTGTGACTCCCAAGTACTAGTGTGAGCCATGACTGTCTGCCTCTGTTTCTCTTTAAGACTGGGTTAATTTCATGTAGTCCAGGGTGACTTTGAACTCCCAAGAGCTAGGAGTAAAGGTGTGTGCCACCACTGCCTGGCCTCTGTGTTTAATCTAGTGGCTGGCTCCTCTGATTTTCAGGAAAATTTTATTTGTTAGAGTACAAACAAAATATCACCACAGCTCTCTTCCTCTGCTTCAGAGGAGCAGCTTAATGGAACAGAATAAAAATGTGTGGAGTCAAAGAAAGGCATTTATCTTCCCTACCCCACACTATTTTTTTAAAAAGCATTTTACTCATTAATGAAATAGTTTGATCATGGATATCTAAGGAGGCTATCCGGAGTAACAGCATATGAGGACTCTTTGGTCTGTGTTTGCCGTCTGTGTTGATGTTCCTTTCGGTTAAAGTTGAACTTGCCCTCCTAGGAGTTACTTGAACCTTCACATCCCTGGACTCTGTCAACAAAAAGTCCATAAATTAAACTCTGTTTCCAGCATTTATTAATATTAAGTTGCCTGAATTCTAAAATACTCTCCATATATTTTAATGTTTTAAACCAAAAATTCTCTCAAAGTCCCAGTTTCTCCACAGTTTTGCTCTGGGTGGCAAAGAGTTCTTGTCCTTGAGTACACATTGGAATGTTAGAAATTCATATTTCACTGAAGCATTGCGCCTTTGAACTTTCTACCAACAGTATTAGCATTCTGAGACGTTTGCACTGATATTTCTATATTAACCCATTTTGAGTTCTTAATCGAGTCATAATCATTTGAAGAGGACATCTTCCTTTCCAATGGCACTGAGGGGAATCTTAAAGATGAGAGAAAGAGGTCGGAAAAGGAGTTTGGAGACCCCCGAGGAAACGTTAATCTGCTTCACACATTTGCCTGCCATTTGCTTTTGCAGTGACTAGACTGCACTTCCTCCTAGCTTTCTAGGATTTCTTTAGCCTCTGTGGCTGTGCGTCACCATCTCTAATAGATTAGAGTGTCCGTGGTCAGTGTCTTCTCAGTGGAGTCTGAATAAATAGACACATGGTTTGTTAATAATAATAGCATCACTGTACTTACCCCACAGGTTAGGGAGTCAGGAGAGTGTCATGCTTAAATACAAGTGCCGGATGGCCAGAACTGAAGCCCAGCTTCACTATTCACCTCCCATGTGACCTTGGGAAATATTTATATTTTTAAGTTTTATGTTCTTTATACTTGAAATGGCAGCAATAATAGCTTCTACTTCATAGGGCTGTTACACGATTAAATACAATAAGCTGCCGTTTAAGCTGCTCTTTAAAATTGTTTGTAACTTTTATTTACTCTTTAGTAACTTCGTATTTGAATACAACGTATTTAGATCATGTCCACTCCCTGTTCCCCACTGTCTAGCTCCTCCAGGGTCACCCCACCCACCTCCCTCTCAACTTCTCCTCCTCCTCCTCTTCTTGTCCCACTGGGTCTAATTATTGCTGCCAATACGCACACTAGTGTAGGTGCCTTCCCCCAGGGAAATCTATCACTACCAACTCCAGAAGTAACTCTCCCTACCCCAGCGGTCATCAGCTGCCAGTCGCCCTGCAGCTGTGGATAGGGCCTATGAGGCCCCGCCCTTTCCATGTTGTAGTGCTGACTGGCTTGATCCTGTGCATGACTGTGCTGGCAGCCACAGCTACTGTGAGATCATGAGTGCAATGGCCTTGTCATGCCCATGAGATAGCCTTTGGTGTCAGGGTCTCCCAACCTATGGCCTTTCCCTCTGACCACTCTTCTGTGATGTTCCCTGGGGAGGGGGTGGGATTTAGTGCTGAACACCCCACAGTTGCTTGCACCCCAAACTGCAAGCTTCTTTGACAAGGGCTGAGTTCTGCAGCAAAGGCTGCCGTGCAGTAGGTGTTTACAAACAAGCGATGGGGCTGGCGTCTATTTTCTCTGTCTTCTAACCCGTCCTTATTTGTCATCTTTGCTCTGAACAGCAAATATATAAGGCAAATGGCATCTGGGTACAGCTGGGTGAGTCTGCAGTCCCCATCTCTTAAGATTCAAGAGTTAGAGATGAGCCTGGGCCACGCAACATAGTCAGATACCACCCATCCCTGCAAAGAAAAGATAAAGGAACAGTTTGGATTCTGGAAGCAAATTCTCTGCATTTAAACCCTCAATCTAATAATGTTTGCTAATTTTGTGACCTTCGATAGGTCACTTAATTTTTCTGGGGTTCATTTCCCTCATAAAGGAAGAATAATAGCAGAACCTACCTCCGAGGGTCAGTGCCAGAACTGAGAGTAAAGAATTTAGTTACAACATCAATACCCAGATTATACACACACATATGTGTATATATGTAATAACAGAAGCATATGTCCACATTGTGTAAATGTATATGGTAGATGATTGATATTTTTAGGTTGGGTGAACTATGGATTAATTATGTGGCAATAAAATAGGATTTGGGCTCACTTGGTAGAGTGCTTATTATGTGAGCATGAAGACCTGAGTTTAGACCCCTGGTGCCCATGTAAAAAGCCAGGTATGATGGTGCATACCCACAATTTCAGCACTGAGGATGCAAAGACAGGGGGATCCCTGGGACTTGCTGGCCAGCCAGTCTTGCCAATCAATGATCTCCAGGGTTAGTGAGAGACCTTTTCTCAAAAATTAGGAGGAGAGCAATATGAATGTTGGTCTATGGACTCCATGTACCCATAAACACTCCCTATAAAACATACCCCATACAAAGATTTGAAATTTCAGAGTAAGAAGCATGAAAACTGACTATATGTAGTTATATTAATAATGAGCATTCATTCAGTGCCAATTACAGGTTAATTGATTTATAACAATTCATATCACTGTGGTTGGAGCCATTTCAACTTGATTTACAGGTCAGAAATGTGAGTCTCAGAGAGTCTAGATAACTTGCTTATGGTCATAGAACATGACTAGTGTTTAAACTGTGGGTCTGATTTCATGGCCCTTGCATGCCCCATGGCCTGTTTTAGATGGGCACAGTGGGGTTCTACAACTCTTAGGCCAGTGGCTCTGAACACTAGTTTAGTCAAGGCCTGCGTGAGGTAGGGATCCCTTTCAAGAGCAGTATTTGCTCCAGCCATCTCCCTAGACCTTTCCTGTTAGTTTTCAGTAAGACCAACTCTTTGCCTATGACTAACTGAGTTCCTGGCGCTCTCAGCAGGAAGAGTTGTAACTAGTATTATACTTAACAATCAGACTATGGACCTTTTATTAGCTACAGTAACTTGTGCTTACTGGTCTTTTAAAATTTATTCTTCTTTTACAAATATTTTTATTAAATTTCTTAAAAATATGGTGAGTCTTTGTGATTTTTTGGAGCACTTCCAGAGACCTTCATAAATCTTTAATTACCCATTAACATTATACCATCTAATTTTTTCCTAAGTGGACCTGCGGGTGAACATGTCCATTGAAACATATCAAGGGCAAATAAAACCGTGGTGGAATTTGAATGCTGGGAGTCATGTACCAGCTACCTGGGGTATAGGGTTCTAAAAATTAATGTTTTAGCAAAAATTTTCATTACTATGTGATGGGGACTTTCGGGTCATTAAAGATTGGACTAACTCTTCAATGTAAAACCCCAGGGCCTGGACCAGCTGTGTCTAGGACCATGCTAATTTGTCCATTTGCAATGCATTCCCTTTCCTTGTTATTTCAGGTTTTCCTGTCAAAAGGCTTTGTAGATGATGTCCATGCTCCTGCCTGAACTTAGGGTCCACGAATACTTAGTAGCCACCACAGCAAAATGGAAACACTAGAAACGGGGCTTTTCCTTGTTTTAGATTTAAAAACAAGACTGATCTTTCCCCAAGGTCCATGGTTTATTGACCTTTATAGTTTAGCTTTTTTGGGATACTCACTGATGTAGGAAAGCACGGCCGCTTAGCTGAGTCTCACTTTGCGCTGATACTTGTGAAGATTTATGAAAGGTCGATTTGAAAGAATGGTCATTTACATTTAAAATATTTTCCACTTCAAAGCTTATATGCTTCATCTGAATAGTCACTTTATTAAGTAAACTATGCAGCTGAGTGCATACATTTCACCATTTCCTTAGGAAGCCAAAGAAAGGGGTGAGTTAGACTAGTTTGCTCAGTTCGAGGTTGGCTGGTGAGTGGTAGTTGGTAATAGGTCGGTTATGCTGCTTTTCCTGAGTGTTCTCTTCTCTGCAACATGATGCTGTAACTTGCAGTTGTTTGACTGTATTCTCAGGGTTCTAGAAGACTGGTCCCAGGTGACCACGGAAGAGGTGATGGGTCCATGACAGGGAAGGTAGTGGAAGGTAATTAGGCTACTTGGAGCATCTCTCTCAGAAGGGATTGGCGCCTGTCTGAAAGGGTGAGTTATTTCTTGCCACAGTGAAATGTTATTGAAGGAGCAAGACTGGCTCTTCCCCTTGCTCTGGCTTCCTGTCACGCTGTGTGCTTGCTCTCCCTCACATGTTTTCATACTCTACCTAGCATGTGTGATGTGGCTGAGGGGGCATCATCAGAGGCTGAGTGGACAGGGATTTTTAGTCAAAGCTTCCTTTCTTTTTTTTTCTTCTTTTCTTTCTTTTTTTTGTTCTTGTTTTTTTTGTTTTTCTAAGACAGGGTTTCTCTGTGTAGTTTTGGAGCCTGTCCTGGATCTCACTCTAGACCAGGCTAGCCTTGAACTCACAGAGATCCGCCTGGCTCCTGAGTGTTGGATTTAAAGGTGTGCGCCACCACCGCCCGGCTAGCTCCGTTTCTTGCAGTATGCCTTGTGGTGCTTCCATATGGGAGGGCATTTTATTCCCAGCCCAGTTTCAGATTTGGAAGTCCTAGGAGCCAAGTCAACTTGAATTCAAGCCTTCTTTCAAATACTCTCGCCATCAATAATCCTGAATCAGGAATTTAATCTGGCTCTTAGTGGGTAGTGCTGGCAAAAGATGATCTACCCAGGCCAGTTTTGTGGTACAGAAGCCAAACTCTGACTTTCTCTAGCTATACAAATGATTCTGTGAACTATTAATACCATTTGATAAGTCTGATAAGTCTGTTTTCTGCCTAAACTAACTGATGAAGGTTTTTTTTTAAATTTTTATTTATTTATTTATTTATTTATTTATTTATTTAGAAAAGACATATACTCTCTCAATGTATACATATTTCCAAAAGCATTTTGGAGGTTTGGGTTCTTATTCTCAGCACCAAAAAGAAGAGAAAGAAGAGGAGGAGGAAGAAGAGGAAGAGGAGAAGGGGAGAAAGGAGGAGGAGAAGAAGGAGGAAGATTAAAAAGACAGTTTACTGAGTGAGAACTGTCCCCCATTTGAACACTTGTTCCCTAGTTGGTAGCATTGTTTGGAGAGACTATGGGGAAGTCCAGCCTTCTTGGAGGAAGTACATCACTGGGGGTGTGGGCTTTGAGGGTTTGACCCCGCCCCCATTTCCAGTTTGCTCTCCCTGCTTTGTGCTTGCAGTTGACGGGATGTAGTCTCTCAGCTTCCTGCTCCTGTGGCCGTGGTGGCCATGCTGTAAGTATCTGTTACGTCCATTTGGTTTATTTGGTCATTTAGCTCCAGCATTTCTCTGTTTAGCTTTTGTCTAGATGATCTGTCTATTGGTGAGAATAGGGTATTGAACTGACCCGTTATTACTGTGTGAGGGTCAATATGTGATTTTAGCTGTAGTAGTGTTTCTGTTTTAAACTTTGGTGCCCTTGTGTTTGGTGCGTGGTTATTTAGAATTGCAATATCTTCTCCGTGGATTTTTCCTTTGATGAGTATATATGTTCTTCCCTATCCTGTTTCTTTTTGGTCTGAAGTCTATTTTGTCAGATATTAAAATGACTACACTGACTTATTACTTGGTTCTATTGGCTTGAAATAATTTTTCTATCCTTTTACCTTGAGATGATCTCTATCCTTGATGTTAAGGTGTGTTTCTTGGGTGCTAGAGAAGGATAGATCATGTTTTTTATATCCAATCTCTTGTCTGTTTCTTTTTGTTGGGGAACTGAGACCATTTATGTTGAGAATTATCAGTGGGAGATGTTTGTTGATTCCTGTTATTTTGTTGTTTTGTGGATTCCCCTACTTTGATTTCTGGTCTGAGATTATTTATTGCTTGTGTTTTCTTGGGTGTGATTAGCTTCTTCCAGTTCAAGTTTTCCTTCGAGTGCCTTCTGTAGAGCTGTGTTTGGAGATCGATACTGCTTAAATTTGGATTTATTGTAGAATGTTTTTCTTTTTCCATCTATTGTGATTGAACGTTTTGCTGGGTATAGTAGTCTGGGCTGGCATCTATGGTCTCTTAGAGTTCTTGGAACGTCTGTTCAGGCCCTCCTGGCTTTTAGAGTCCATCGAGAAGTCAGATGTTATTCTAATAGGTCTGCCTTTATATGATACTTGGTCTTTTCCCCTTCCAGCTTTTAATATTCTTCTTTGTCCTATATGTTTAGTGTTTTGATTATTATGTTTTATGGGTAATTTTTTTTTCTGGTCCAGTCTACTTGGTGTTCTGTATGCTTGTACTTTTATAGGCATTTCCTTCTGTAGGTTCGGGAAATTTACTTCTATGATTTTGTTGAAAATATTTTCTGTGCCTTTGACTGGCTTTCTGTTCTTTCCTCTATTTTTATTATTCTTAGAT